CTTGGGAGGCAGAGGCAGACAGCTCTCTTTGAGTTTGAGGTCAGGCTGGTCTGCAGAGTGAATTCCAGGACAAGCTCCAAATACAGAGAAACCCTGTCTCAAAAAACAAAAAACAACAAACAAAAGTTTGAGGCTAGCCTGGACTTTAAAAAAAAAAGAACAAAACCAAAAACCAGTTGTCAGGTATAGTGGCGCACACCGAGGAGACAGAGGCGGGTGGATCTCTGTGAGTTTGAGGCCAGCTTGGTCTACAGAGTGAGTTCCAGGGCAATCAGAGCTATATAATAAAGAGACCATGTCTCAAAAACAAACAAAAGGGGTTGGAGAGCTGTTGCAACAGCTAAGAGCATGTATGTGCTGCTCTTGCAGAGGACTGGAGGACGGCTCCCAACACCCACATAGTGACTCAACCCTCTGTCACCCCAGCTGCAGGGGAGCTTATGGCCTCTTCTGAACTCTGAGGATACAAGGTACAAACGCGATACATAGAACATAACGGCAAGCAAGCAAAAACACTCACACATGTAAAGTAAAATAAATACATCTCAGTGTGTGTGTGTGTGTGCATGCGTGTGTGTGTGTATATATGCATGTGTATGTCTCTGTGTCTGTGTGTAAACGACCAGGCAAACTAGCAGGGCAGAAGGCAGACAGCAGCACCAAAGAAGAACAAAAGAGAATTAAAATCCAGCAGCTTGGTGTTTGGCTGGGAACTCTGGGAAGGAATCGATTGAAGTGCTTGAAGCGTTCTGGGAAACTTAACTTGAATGACAAGGAGTCCCGAGGTTCTCCAGCAGATGTGTTTACTATGACCAAAACAGCTCCAAACTGCTAAACGGTCGATTGTAGCAGAAGGGTCTGAAATTTAAAAACTCACTTTCCCTAGACTACGAGGCACAGAAGACAGGGACCCTGTTGGAAGTGATTTCAGCGCGGAATAGGGTGCCCTCTGGGGGTGGAAGGATTACCACTCTCTGCTGGCAAATGGTAAATTGCTAGCCCCGGCCCTTTCTTGCTTTCTTTTTTTTTGGGGGGGGGGTTCTTTTGTTTTTGTTTGTTTGTTTGTTTTAGACAGAGTTTGTCTATATAGTTATGGCTGTCCTGGCTGTTCCTATATACACCAGGCTGGTTTTGAAATCTCACAGAAAACCGCTTGCCTCTGTTTCCCAAGGGCTGGGATTAAAGGTGTGAGCCAGCTCGCCCAGTCCTGAGCCATTTCTATTCAGTGCATCAACTACGGTACAAATCCCTGGCCAAGGGTTTGATCCTGGTCTTCTATATTGACCTGCATCAGAAACGGAAGACCGGACCAAGATTCTGGTTCTGCCTGTTGTAGCAATATTTTGTCCTTTCTGTACTTCAATTTACCAATTCAAAGAAAAAGTGATCTCAAGAGCTTCTTCTAGCTTTTTCTTGAAGGGACTTCGGAAAACAAAGCATTCGGTCTGGGGAGCCTGGCAGGAGTGGTGGAGCACGGCGCCACCAAGCTGGCGGAAGCTGGGACAAGAGCCACTCCTGGCGCCTACTGCTATTGCCGGAGGCATATAGGGCATGGCATCTACCCAGGGCGGTGCCTGAGGACGGAGGAGCAGGCTTGGTGGGGTCAGCTCGAGAGCCGAGAAAGGAGGTCCTCAGTTTGCAAGGGATACGCCCTACGCCTGTTCCCTGAACCTCTGGTTAAAGTGAGAGAACGCAAGCAGACTACGCGCCATTTAAAGGTTGAGGCGTGGTCTACGACAAAGCCAATGAGCTCCGGGAGGTGCGCACAGACCAGCCAGGATTACGTAATGGTGCAAGGCTCCGCCACCCAGGGCGGGGCCAAGGAGCCAAGTTACCGGCAGCATTTTAAGGGTTTGGAAAAAAAATCAAGCAAGGGACAGCCTAGGTTTTCTTGTGACTCCGCCCACAGTAGGGCATGACCAAGGAAACAGCTCACAGAGGCAGGGAAGGTGAAATTACGTAATGATGCAAGGGGTGGTTCCAGAGTCTCCGGTGGCTCCGCCCCGAGTGTGGTCAAGGAGCGTCTCTCCAGAGGCCCGACAGAGTCTACGACGATTGAGTGATGGTACAAAGAACAGGCCAATGGGGTGGCCCCTCCAGGGCGTGGCAGGGGCTCACAGGTCTTAAGAGTATTGTGTAATGCCCAAGAGGTGGACCAATCCCATGTGACACCGCCCTGGTCCTGGCAAGGATCTCGTCTCTAAGCGCCTCATAGTGTCTGCAGGAATTGAGTAATTGTACAAGCGGGGCGGGCTTAGTGTTGGATGGCTACGCCCAGTGCGTAACCAAGGCAACTAGTCCTCCAGACCAGGTTCAGAGTGGCTGCAAGAATTGCGTAACGTGCAAGGGCCAGCTCTCCTTGAGGCTCCTCCCAGGGCGTGGCCAAGAAACGCCTGCTTCGGGCAATTGTGCAACGAGGGGGCTGAACTGCGCTGCGGGGTTACGTTAAGTCACGTGACCAGGAATGGCGCTTCGACTGGGGGCAGGAAAATAGGCCGAGCCACAGTTGGAAAAGGGCAGGGCTTTCTGGGAGGCGGGGCGTGCGCAGGGCAATCCCTAGGAAGCACACGCTATAGGCCGTAAGTGTGGGCATGCTCCGCTGGGCGCGAGCGTGGAGGGTCCTCCGTGGGAAGCTTGGTGCCTCTTCTTCCAGATGCTCGGCGGTGCCCGTCGCCTTCAGTAGCAGCCGCAGTAGTGGACAAGAGAACGCCGAGACGAGGTCAGTCAAGGACACCCGGAGGGTGGGACTCCACTGGTCCTCTTAGCACGCGGCCCGGCTGGCCCCGCCCCCCCCTTGGCCTCGCCCCTTCTCTCCTTCACCCTCCCCCTTTCTCCATGGTGGCCCCCACTTTCCAGGCCGCTGCCGCTCTCCTATAACCTTCTAGATGGAGAGGCGACACTCCCAGCCATCGTCTTTTTGCATGGACTCTTCGGCAGCAAAACCAACTTCAACTCCATCGCCAAGGCGATGGTCCAAAGAACCGGCAGGAGGGTGAGCTTCCGGGTGGGGTGGGGCATGGATGGGCGGGGCCTAAGGGGGAAGCCTGAAGATGGTGGACCTAGCTTAAGTCTGGGCTCCTGCTGATAAGTGAAAAGTTTCAGTGCACAGTAACCCGGAAAGCACCTTCGAAGAGGCCTGGTTTTACAAGGTGCCTTCTAGTTCGCCCATTTATGTTACAGAGCTCCACCTGCCCCTGTGTCAGGTCCCAAAGAAACTCAGGTCACGTGGCTATTGGTTCTGCCTGTTACCATACCAAAGAACACTCGCTGCCAAGCTCACCAGTGGCTCTTCCACCCCAACCTCTACCATAAACTTGTCCAGCCCAGGGGTTTCCCTCCCCCCACCCCCAGCTTCTCTTTTCTATATAATCCAGTAATTTCAGCCTCGTGCACTCTTGGTTTCTCTTGGTCTGAGGCTCTTCTCTTTACTCAAATACCTACTCCCCTCCATACCTAAAGTTGGGATTTGACCAGCACATGCACACCACGGCATATGCGCATGCACATACACTTGCACACACCTGTATACATACATTTATATGTATATAGTAAAAATCAAGGAATAAGTTGGATAGCAACTAAGGAAGCCATTCAAGAGTGATCTCTGGCCTCTATGTGCACATGAAAATGTACACACATGCTCATACACAAACACAGTTGTGTCCCCAGACTCATCTCCCTGACTGCTTCATAGTTTCCCAGGCTTTTCACTGTCTATAATCAGGGTACCACCATTCCTATATTCCTATTTCACCCTGCACCCCAGGTGTTGACAGTGGATGCTCGGAACCATGGCGACAGCCCCCATAGTCCAGATGCAAGCTACGAGGCCATGAGTCAGGACCTTCAGGGCCTCCTGCCACAGCTGGGCCTGGTGCCCTGCGTCCTCGTTGGCCACAGCATGGGAGGAAAGACAGCCATGCTGCTGGCACTGCAGAGGGTGAGCTGCGTCCGTCTGGGTCCTCCTCTTAATGCACCGGACGTGCCCAACTGATAATGTGGGGCACATCTGTGCTTTGGGTGGCCAGGCTCCAGCGACCGAGCTGGAGACTCAGTGAGATTCTGTCTCATAGCCAGATGTTGTGGAGCGATTGGTTGTTGTAGACATAAGCCCAGTAGGAACCACACCTGGATCATATCTAGGAAGATACATAGCAGCCATGAAGGCCGTTGATATCCCGGAGAAGGTGCCGCACTCCCAGGCCCGAAAACTGGTGGATGAACAGCTTAGCACCGCTGTCAAGGTGATACACGCTACCCCCTTCTCCTCACCCCCATGGTGTAGACTAAGACACGTGGGGGGGGTCTCACAGAGAGCCCCTCACAACTGCCTGACCCACTGCAGGACCCAGCCATTCGGAGGTTCCTGCTCACCAACCTGGTGGAGGTAGACGGGCGGTTCTCTTGGAGAGTGAACTTGGAGACTTTAGCTCAGCACTTGGACAAGATTCTGACCTTCCCACAGCAGCTTGAATCCTACTCGGGGCCAACTCTCTTTCTAACTGGTGGAAATTCTGGATATGTACAGTAAGTCATTGTAGGGCCAGAGGAAGGGGTGTGCCTTACCACCAGCTGTGGGAGTCTGCTTGGGTTAGGGAGGGCTTGGGGTGTGCGCATGGGGTATCTGGGAACCTGGCAATACCACTGGGCACATCGGCTCCTGCAACTCTCATTCTTTCCTGTTTCTCTCTCTCTCTCTCTCTCTCTCCCCCTCTCCCTCTCCCTCTCATCCTGGTTTGACCTCACTATGGTGGCCAGACCCAGCCACCACTCAGAGATTAGGCGTCTCTTTCCTCAAGCCCAGATTCAGACCGTGCCCAATGCTGGCCACTGGGTCCACAGTGACAAACCCCAAGACTTCATGGATGCCGTCAGCAGCTTCTTGGCCTAAGAAATGGCTCCTTGAAAGAGCAGACAGGGAACTCTGGGCTGGCATCTTTGCAACCAGCCGCCTGCTTCTGCATAGAACAATTCAGGTGGGCACCAAGAGGGCCCAGAGGTACAGAGGTCGTCCAACCCTTTAATGAATAAAGGCAGTTCTCTTAAAGTTCTGGGATCCATTTTCACCACCATCGTCCCCACTGACTCCGCGAGAGGTGCATCCGGGAGTTCCTGCCGGCGCTTGTGTTCGCTTGGGTCCCCAGAGCGCCCCTGGACTCTCCCTGCAGTTGACTCTGTACTCTCTCTCGAATCACCTGCTGCATGTCTTCCTGGGGACAGGAGGAAGAGAGAGCAGGTTCAAGGCAGTCCCTGGGGACTAAGGGGCGGCTTCCAAACCTCCCAAATCACAGGCCCCACCCTACCTCCCAGGCCTCCACTTCCTGCTTCAGCCTCAGTTTCTCCTGCAGGGCTTCCAGCAGCTGAGCCTCCACTGTGCGCAATCTCTCTCTGCAGGAGTCCAGCTCAGCTTCCACTGCGCGTTTCCTGCAGGTGGCAGGGACAGCAGCAGGGGATTTCTAGTGGCTTCCTTCCCGGGATGTCTGGAATCCCTTTCCTCTCCTGTAGCAGGAGTGAGTCCCCCCACAACCCCCATCTGCGGTTTCTCTCACTTAGCAATGGCTTCATCCCGCTCCAGCAGGGCTTGTTCCAGGGAAGGCTCTGCCCGGGTGTCCCCCAGTGCTCCAGCCGCTCGGAATTCTGGGTTCTGTTGGAGGGTAATAGATGTGGAGATCTAGTCTGAAAGAGAAGCCCCACAGCCTTGACCCTGGCCCTAACCTACCTGCCATTAAGTCAACCTAGTCTTACCACCCATTGCCTCCAGGGGGCGCTTCATCCTCATCTTGTAAAGCCCTAGAAGAACCTTTGGCTGGTTCGCTAGGAAGTAGGCCAGGGAACTTTGGGCCTTACTCAGGAACGGCAAGCGAGATAGATCACTTGGCTGGGTTTAGCAAAATGGACAGTGTTTGGAACTCCCAGAGAGAAAGAGTTTCTTACACTGGCCATGGGAAATAATAATAATAATAATGAGTAAGCTGGGACCACTTACCTTTCAATGTCCCTACAAAGGTGGCCTGGTGACTGAGACTCTTGTCAGCTGGTCGTGACTAAGAAGACAGAGCCCTTTGCCCTTCCAGGCAAGGCACTCCCTAGCAGACTCCACCTACTTAAGGACAGTCTGGGGCAAGGAGCAAGTGCACACCTCCCTCTCACACCTTGCAACGCCCAGGCCTTTCCCAAGTCTTACCTTCCTTCGCCCCTAGGGGGCGCTCCACTATGTCTTGCTATAGCCAAGGAGGGACAACCTTGGCTTGGTCCAAGAACAGACTCTGCAAGGCTGAGCATGAGACTTGATTCTTTGCTAGCCCTTCAGGCATAATCTGTTCCCAGAATTCTAAACCTACCTCAGAAGGGAAAAAAAATCCCAATATCTTGAATACGCACCTTCCAGTATACTCCAAACATGCAGGACCAGATGAGGGAATTTTGCTTGTTTGCTTGTTTGTTTGATTTGAGACAGGGCTTCTCTGTGTAGCCTTGGCTGCCCTGGAACTCTCTCTGTAGATCAGGCCTGTCTTAAAATTAGAGATCTCCCTGCCCCTGCTCTCAAGTGCTGGGATAGAGCCCAGCGTTCTCAGTGTTTGGGAAGCAGAGGCAGGTGGATCTCTGAGTTCGAGGACAACCTGGTCTACAGAACAAGTTGCAGGGCGGCCAGGGCTACACAGAGAAACCCTGTCTTGAAAGGCCAAAAAGGAACAGAAACCTAATATGTTATCAAACATACCCAGTTGCCTTAGCTCTCTGCTCTCAACTTGAAATAATTTGTAGCCTGTGAGTTTTCATGGCCTTGGCAGGTACACTGTCCTTTCATTTGGGTTAGTCCGGTTTCCTCTTGATTACACCATCCCTTTGCACTTCCACCGCAACAGCCCAGAAGTGAGGCTGTTTGCTGGTGCTGCCCAGTGTAACTGAAACCATGACATTAGTGTCGATCACCTGACTGAGGTGTTCAGTCCATTTTGGGGGAGGGAAGATATTTTTGAGACATTGAGCATCTTTTTCTTTTCTTTTCTTTTTTTTATCTCTTTGTGCAGTGCTAGATAAGGAACGAGCACAGGCACTTGCACATGCTAGGCAAGTGTTCTGCTGCCCAGCCAAATCCTCACTGGGGATTCTAGGCAGGGGCTCTACCACTGAGCCACACCCCAGCCCCT